GTTTTCTTATACCTTTCATGGCCCAACAGAGGCCAAAATATCTTCTTTTCAGGTTATCACCAGCTACTCATGAAATGTGTTAGCCTTTCTAGACATTCTGAAATCACTACCTGCCACCTGGCCTCAAAGCACATAACCAAACTCACAATCTACAAATTGGGAATTTCCACGAGGACTTTCACAATACCTAGTGTCCTTCCAGAAAGGCTACAATGCATTTTTTTCTGTCTACATAGACTGTCAATTCTATTCTAAGACAATCTGAAAGTTAAAAATGTTATCAGCGTTCTCTTTAAGATCATGAATTCTTGATTTTCTCTAATTTGTCTCATTCATTCATTAATAGTGCAAGTATATTAGAAATAGGATGCATATGTTATGCACTGACTGTTTAGGACAGAATCTTTACTGAAATTACGAGCTTCAGTTTATAAATCCAACAGTACTTAGCCACTTAAAATTTTTTTTAAATTATGAAACTACTTTCAACCTAAATCTTCCCAACTTTAAATGAAAGTAATCATTCATAGGATTCATATGTCAAGATCTGGAAGGGACCTCAGAAAAGGTATCTAATCTAATCCCACCCACAATTTACAGATTAAGACACTAATGCCCACATTTATATAGTACTTTACAATACACTTTCCTTACAACAACCCTTATGGTTGACTGATTAAAAAATTGATGACTGATTCGCTGATTAAAAAAAAACACTCAGAGAGGATAAATGACTTATCCAAATCACAAAGTTAAGGAAGTAACATAGGCAGGATTTAAACCCATGTCTCCTAACTTTAAATTTTATACTCTTTTTTTCCCCCCAAGTAACAAGTATTTTATTAATTGGTCCTTCCTGGAACCAACCCATCTCTTACATTGAGAACATTTTTTAAAAATGAAAAGCAAATACCTCAGTACCTAAGTAGCCTGGAAAAACAAATTCCCACGTTAGCCATGTCCAAACATTTCTTTTTCTGCATTTTAAGTTCATCACCTCTCTGTCAGAAGGTGAGTGGTATGTTTCAACTTCATTCTTTTGGTTTACCATTGATTAGAGTTCTAAAATCTTTGAAAAAAATTTTTTTTAATCTATCTACTTTCAATGGCATGATAAATGCCGCCTCTCAGACAAAAATCCTAACAATTTCTCTCCCTACCAGACATGTTATGAGGATAAATAGAAAGCTGTATGACTTGCTGGGGAAAACAAAACAAAAACACTGGAATGTGAGTTAGAGTGCTTGGGTTTTAATTGCAGTCCTGGCATCCTGGCACTATCTTGTTCTGGACTATAGATAAATTTGTTCCTTCTCTGGGCTTCAATGTCCTCATCTATGAACTAGTTTAAAAATATTTTTTATAACTATATTTCAGTATAATTGGCTTCATTTGTAATTCTATGTATTTTGCTTTATGCATTTAAAATATTCTGAAAAGGGGGTCCATAGGTTTCACCAGACTACCAAAGGGGTTCAGAACATAAAAAAGGTTAAGAACTCCTGCAGCAGACAATCTCCAAGGTCACTCTCAGATCTAACACTCTACATTCTGATTCTATTCTAATGAAATGATGAACAATTAACTTCCTATTTCCAGCTCCCTAACCTTCTGAAGACTCTCCTTTTATGGAAGGGGCAGTTTTTTTGAGGGCAGAACTGAGTTTAAAATGAAACGGCAACTTTGGACGAGTAGGAACTGGTACATACATCCCCCTGGCCGTGGCTCCACTGTTTTAGATAAGTGAGATTGATCCTGGGCCAGCCCTTACCCTTAGTAGCCTCTTGGGCATGCCTTAACCCTGCTGGGCCAGAAGTAACAACAGCAGATAGAGCCAGGGTTAACAGTGGCATTTTTCTGCTGCTCAGCATGGACAGTGCTAGCTTATGTGCCCAGAGCAAGAGATTCCTTTCCCACTTTGGTAGAGAAAAGAAAGGAAAAACAGTTGCCCTGCTTTTATTTCTCAAACAAGTTTGTAATGGTTTAATTACAAAGAATCAGTAAAATTGCTGCCATGTCTAGACTTGAAAACCTCCCCTAAACTTGCTTTCTCTGCCACAAACAGCATTGAAGGTGTAAGGTTTCTTCTTTGCTTTATCAAAGGAAAAGAATTTGCTCTCTCATTCAGAAAGTCAGACCAATTCTAACACTTCAAGTGGCAGCTATGGCATGAATGTAAGTTTCAAAATTTAAGAAACAGTGGAAATTAAATTTTAAAAAAAAGGGAGTGGGGATACAACAATGGAAAGAAAAAAACAGACAAAAACATGAAGGAAACACTGATAACAGGGAACGGGCACAGAAAGCAAAGGGAACTTATGAACAAAGGATGAAGACCAAAGTAATTGGAGGGGGACAGAACATGCATAAGCCCAAGTGAAAGCAGCAGCTTAGCATGTGGAATGAATGAGAAATAGCCTGAGGACAAGAAGACAGAGAATACAGACTACAAGGGAGATACAAGAGGAGAATGTGGGCCAGTGTGAGAGCAGAAACAAGGTCTCCGTAGCAAGGCTCCAGAGGTGAACCACATCTTTAATAAGTTTTGTGGGGCATGCATGAGACAAGGACGAGGAAAAAGAATCCTAGGTATGACCACACTCACTTGCACTCTGCCTCTGCATCCGCCTTGGCTGTGGTATAGAGACCTCGAAGCTTCGTCCGGTAATAGGGAGAGACTGCAGAGGAACACAAATCAACAAGAAAGGTACGGGCCTGACAACATACCAGGAAAGCTTCCCTCCCAAACTTTCTCCCCATCTCTCACTTTTGTTTTCTGTCTGCATTCGCTCATGTGTCTTCTGGATATTGATCAGGTTATGTTCACTTCGGGAACGTTCTTCCTACACAGATATGGAGAGAAGAGGGATGGAGAAAAGGAGGAGGAGGAAGTGAAGGAGAGGTTCTGTCCGGTTAACCCAGCTGACGGCCTCCCTGATCATTTCCCTTTACTGTCTCTACCCAAAATGCTCTTCAAAAAGTTCCCGCAAAAAACTAGAAAAAAGTAAGTCCAGTGACTCCCTATTTTCTCTAGGATAGACTCTAAACTCTCCCTTTGTTTGACTTTTAAGTCCCTTCACAACCTAGCCCCAGGCTACCTTCCAGCTTCATTACACCTTGCTCTTCTTCCTAAAAACTCTATAATGCAGCTAACTGGCTTTTTCCTCTATCCCTCACAGGCAGTGCTCAGCCTCTTCTCTCCCTGCCTTTACATGGCTGTCCCCACACTCCTCCTCACCTCTGCCTCACAGAACTCCTCTTTCCATTCAAAACACAGCTCACTCACCACCTTCAACACAAAATCTTTTTTGATCCCTCCTGCCAGTACCCTACACCTTCCCAACCATCTTGTCCATTTTCTGTAAATAGTTATATATGGACATGTTGTCTTACTTGATTAAACAAACTGTTTGAAAGTAAGGAATGTGCTAGATGACTGGGGTGGTACAGGCTGAGGTTAGGCCTTCTGAGGTGCATGCAGTTGGCCAAGCCTGTCCTGTGTCTGTGCCAAATCCAGCACCAATGCTGGATATCCTTCAAGTCCTAGAGCAGTGTTAAGAGTGCACTAAGACTTCTGGGAAGTCATAGAGAGAGAGTGGAAAGCCACTCCTTAGATTTGCCGAAGGAGAGGCAAACCACCCCAGGTTGGAAACAGAGCATGTCAAAACTTTCATGTCAATCAGAAGTGGACTGGGCCAGTGAGAGGACACAGGGCTTCCAGCCTGGGCAAGATCAGGAGATCCAGTCTCTAAAGAGAGGGATGGGGGAAAGAAAAGAAAAAGAAAAAAGGGGGAGAGAAGGGAAAGATGAAGGATGAAGAAAAGAGAAGGAAAGAGGGAGGAGAGGAGAGAGAAGATGAGAAATAAAGGGGGGGAAAGAAAAGGGGGAGGGAGAAAGGGTAGAGATTGTTTCATTTTTTTCTGTCTGATAAATGACTGCTGACAAATTGAAATGGAGACACTACTGATTTGGATCAAAGATCGGAGAGCTGAGGGACCTCAGACCATCATCTAGTACAACCCCCTCTTTTACAGATAAGGAAACTGAGGCTCAGGGAGGTTACAATCACTTTTGAAATGTCACACATCATCAAAGACAGAATTTGAACCCAGGTCCTCTGGGTTCTGAGCCAATGCTCTTTCCATAGTGCTTCTTGGCTCTGTCAGATGCAGATGGGGGTCTCAATGTTGGTTGGTTTTGCTCAACTTTTTTTTGTTGTTGTTACAAGAGAGAAGTTAAAGAAATGAAAGGGTAAAGGTTAAGGTTTTTACTCATTTGCGTCAATAAAACTTTGCTTCAACACACATATATCCACACTTTTATTATACCATTATGCATACCAAGTTTCTCCTACATATATACCTCATGCATATTTTGCTTAACTATTTAAAATGATACAATGGGGAAGAAAAAAAACTTAAGAACAAAAACTCCAAACTTCCTCAATATCTCATTTCCCTTACTATGACTTATGAACATCTAGTTTCATCTGTGTATACCCAATACAATGTTGCACTAATCAACATTTCACAATAACATTGTTAATACACTATAGCCAATTTCAGTTGTAATTTTAGTTATCAGACTGTCCAAGTCTCTGTTCTTTGCTCCCCTTAGTTTAGTCTCCTGTCCTTCAGACCTAAAGCTCCTCTACTCTACCTGTGCAACTAGCTCACCTGTCCCCTAGCCTTTTCTCCAACCACCTGGACTTCTTGTGCTCTCTGTGTCCAGGAACCAGCACTTACAACATTGTTCCTATGGCACTTAACAGGTCCTGCAACACTAGTTTATTCTGAAGTCATGTTTTCACAACTGCAGGCAAGGTAGCCTATGCTACCTTGATTCCCTTTCTAATCAAAGTCTGAATTTTCCCAAGGTCATCTCCTCTTCGGAGGAGAAGAACAAAAGTATTACCTGAGTTTGCTTGATCAGCTGATGGAGCTCCGTGAGTAGTTCAGCTATTCGTGAGTCTGCTGATACCAAAGCCATGGCTGTGGAAAATATGGTTTCCTACGAGAAAGGGGAATGGAACGGAAGAAAAGAATGCCCAAAAACCTCTGGGAGAGGAGGCTCCTACAGGTAAAGGACCAACAACACCGTAGCACTCAGTAAGTTTAATTCATCCAGCAACAATTTAATAAGTTGATCCTAAAAGCATGGCACTGTATCAACGACAGAGGTATTTTAAAAAGAAGATTTGGTCCCTGCCCTCCCTGTGCTTACATTCTATTAGTAAGAAAAGCTATATCCATGAGGTAGGAGAAAAAAACTGGATCTGGAGTCAGAGGACTAAGTTTTGAATACTAGCTATGCCACTCACTACCTTTGTGACCTTATGCAAATCATTTTTTTCTGGGTCTCAGTTTCTTCATTTGCAAAACTAAATGATCACTTAAAATGTCCTCCCAATTCTAGATTCTATGTTCTAAGAACAACAAATAATCATAATTTTAACTTTATCAGGTATGAGTTACTGGATTTGCAAGTTTGTAATGTCTCAAACTACAGACAGGTATTAAGGAAGTTCAAAGTAACAGATTCAGGTGAGGTTTGTCAGGCAAAAATCTGTCTTAGCAGAGGGCCTTAAAGAATTGCAAAAGAACAGGGGAGAAGATGGCAGTGGGAAAGCAGTGACTGTCTTGAGTTCTCTCCCAAAGCTCTCCAAATACCTAAAAAAAAAAGGCTCTAAATAAATTCTAAAGCAGCAGAACCCACAAAAAGACAGAGTGAAACAAATTTCCAGCCAAAGACAGCCTAGATGGTTGATCAGAACGGTGTATGGCGCTGGGCAGGGAGAGGAACGCAGTTTGGTGTGGGCACGCAGGCTGCAGCGACCCTGGAGCAGGCCTCAGAGGACTGAATCGCAGGCAGCTGTGGCGGTTTCCAGACTTCTCAACCTCTGAATGCCAAAGACAACTTAGAAGGTCAGTGGGAAAAGTCTGTGACTGCAGTGAGAGAGGAGCTAGGTCTCAGCCGCAAGTCTCGAGCGCGGCCGGGGGCTGCGGCTTTTTCCTGAGCTTCCGGCCCACAGACTGAGGGGGAATGGAGTTGCTGATCACAGGGGGATTGCAGGGATCTCTTTGCCAGTGCTGAGGCAAGAATCTCTTGCTTTACTGGTGCTTGGATCCGGGTCACAGTTCTGAGGGGCAGTCCTGGGGGCGAGGAGGAGTGCTGGCGTGGTGCAGCTTGTTGAGGAGGTGGAGAGGAAACACCTCGCCCCTTATCATACCACCTTGGAAGAACTGAAAATTTATGGGTCCCTAGAAGTATCTCTGAAAACAGCTGTACAAACCCCCGAAGCTTGGGACAGTACACTCTTCACATTGGAAGCAGACTTTTACCTTAACAGAGTTTAAAACTCAAGTAATTGGCCGCGATCATGAGTAAGCAGCACAAAAAGAGTCAGACTATATTATCTTACTTTGGCGACAAAGAAGATCAAAACATACAACCAGAAGAAGACAATAAAGCCAAAGCTCCTACATTCAAAGTCTCCAAGAAAAATATGAATCAGTCCCAGGCCTTGGAAGAACTCAAAAAGGATTTT